CACTGCTGGATCATAGTCAAGTGATCGTCCACTAGAATTCCAAGGTCCCTCTCACAGTTGCTGTTTTTGAGCCTGGTCTTGCCTAATCTGTACTTAAACCTTTGATTTTTCCTGCCTAAATGTAAAACTTTGCTTTTCTCCACATTAAAACTCATTTTGTTGGATAGGGCCCATTGTTCAAGTTTGTCTAGATATTTTTGGATCCTGAGTTTGTTTTCTGGAGCGTTGATTACTCCTGCCAGTTTGGTGTCATCTGCAAATTTGATGAGTTCCCCTTCGATTCCCTCATCTAAGTGATTAATGAAGATATTGAAGAGTACTGGGCCAAAGACAGATTCTTGTGGTTCCCCACTGCTTACTCCTCTCCATGTGGATGTAGTACCATTGAGGACTACTCGCTGAGTACAGTTTGTCAGCCAGCTACAGATCCACCTGATGGTGTTGTTGTCTATCCCAGTTTTTTCTAGCTTACTAAGCAGCAGGTTGTGGTCTACTTTGTCAAAGGCCTTACTGAAGTTAAGTACTATGTCCACAGCATTTCGCTGGTCTACTAATTTAGTCACTTTATCAAAGAATGAAATAAGATTGGGTTGGCATGATCTGTTTTTGACAAACCCGATTGGTGGACAATGGACAGTGGGTGGCCCAGGAGAGAAAAGGGGATTTTACCTATGCCTCTTCGTGCATGAAAACTTCAGAACTGGCTTTGCTTCTTCTGTGCTTATGTGGAATTATCAGTAAAATTATATTCTTGGTAAAATAATGTCCCTTTTGCTGCATATGCCAACAGGACGGTTGATATACACTCAATTCTACTATTGTGGTTGATATACACTCAATTTTACACATCTTGGTTCTCCCCCCCCCCCCTATTTCTTTTTATAGTAATGAATGTTCTCAGGACTTTGAAACAGTATTGCGACTTGTGTGCCTCTCGAGTTACTTAGAACTATACATGCTTGTGTGATACCTTGTTCTTCTAAGTAGTGCTAGTGCAGAGCAGTGAAAACATTTACATACTTCTAACTCTACAGCTGACTAAAGACGTTGGTAAAACAGATTATGAAACAAGATAACAAAAGCTTGGATCTTGGGGAGTCTTGCATAATTGAATAGAAAGTGTTGCAAGTAAAGGCCTGATAGCAAGGAGTGTATTGGTTAAGATTTGATAAAGAATGTTAGTACTTGCTATGTGTGTGTGCAGTTAGTCCACAAGACATTGCAAATTAGCAAACTTTTGGGGGGCAAGGGCACACCTAGAAGTTTGAGGGCATAGTGAATTCAGAAATCGTCTGCCAAGAGAATACTTACATATTAACAAATTGCCTGCTATAGAGCATATGCCATTGCAGAAAATTTATTACAAAGGTTTTAGAAATTATTCCTTTTTTATTGTGCTGTTACGGTTTAAAGAGAGATGGGACTGGCCCACTCCACCTGTGCTGGCAGAGGGGACATATTGTGGATCCCATCAGCTAAGGAATTTAGGCTGGTAGGCTTCAGGAGAAGAGCCTTCTCTGGCGTGGCTCCAGCCTTCTGGAACATCTTATGGGGGAGCTTCATACTGGAGGTGGTTGACTAATTAAAACTTAATCCCAC